GCGCCGCCAACGGCGGTAAGCCGTTTCACGACCCATCTTGATCTTTTCTCGGCAATCAACACCTTACTGAACATGAAACATAATTTACTGAATAAATAGACATGAATGTTCAAAGGAATCTTTACTTAACGTACTTGCTACGCACGAGCGGCCGGTGGCACGCGCTATGTGCACGACCACTTCCTTCGGCCAAAACAACACTTAAACATGAAATTTCCTCGAACATCTCGGACTGACTGATCATGATAAATCATGAAATAGCTAACCATATGACCATTGCTCGCGTGATTCGAATTTAAAATATGATCATGTTCAACGAACTATACGCACGGCCATGAGCCACCTAAGGCCGTATCATGAACATGACTATGCAAACTGAACCAATATGACTATAACATGATCAATTAAAGGTAAACGAAATTACCTTCTTGAATGCTCGGTTGAACGCACCTGCTACTTGTGGTCACTCGGAACTCGTGCGTGTGCGGTGGCTCTCGGCGCGGCGCGGCCGTTAGCTTCTTGCGGTAAGAACAAATGGAAAGAACTCTCACAAATCTCACAACTCACTCTCTATACTAGGCTGAGGAAAAAATATGGCTGGACAAAATGAGGGAAAATCTCCCCATCACTAACTTATATATATATGAACCAAAAGGGAAATGTCTGAGGAACATGATTACTAAGATTTGTATAACATAAGTGTTTACAAATCACTTGACGAGTTGTAAATTCGACCTGAATAAATCTAGAATTTAATCTAGAGTTCTCAAACTTAGCCCCTTTCTCAGGTTCTGAATTCTGATTCAAACTTCTTTACTGATAACATTTGGAAGTTGATAAGTAAAGCGCACAAATTTCTTGACAAGTCACTGAACACGACTGGGAAATTACTGACATGAATCCTGAGGAATTCTAGAGTTATATCTGAGTACACTGAATTCTAAGGTCTGAACCTGATTCGAGCATCTTAACTAAGTCCTGATTAATAATTTCTGAGCATAGGCAAAGTAATATGTTTATAACTGAAAACATAAATCAGCATTTACGTGTAGTCGGCGAGGCGTGAGCGTGACGGTTCAGGTTTTTTTGAAAATTCCTGACTTATAAAACTTTTCAGAGACGCAGAAACGTGCTCTGATACCAATTGTAACACCCCGCTATTTTACTGAAATCAGAGTACACTTTTTCGCAAATTTTTCTGAATAAATTAAAATATTTATTTTGCGAAAACTGATTCGGAGTGCTACCGTGAAAATCTGACTTTTCTGAAAACCGTTAATTAAAACTGATAATAAAAAAGGTTATATAATGTATTAACCGACTAACGTCGGATCAAAACTGAGTTCAAGTACTGAAAAAGGTAGCGGAAAAGTAGCGTGGCCAAAACATAACATATACATATCAAAACAAATATCCTGAACAGCTCGTCAGCTCACTCCTCGTCTCCGACCCTGTGACCTGAAAAACATGAAATATGTGAGGCGTGAGCACTAAAACACTGTGCTCCGTGGAAACTCATACTAAAGTAAAACAGTGAAAATAATAACAATATCATGATCCTGGCATATATAACTGAACTGAAACTGAAACTGATAAATGATATCTGATACCGGTCTGAATAATCTGATACTGATCTCGTGACATAAGTCACCT